CGATTCTGCTGAGGACTCTTCTGGCGAACACTGCATGGGTTCGCTTTCGGCGTCAACCTAAAATTTACAGTTAGACGCTGGTCGGAATGGGCCGAAAATACTAAAGCACTACTTACAACCATAACTTCTGAGTTATCGATATCCTTTTTCACAAACAGGTTGTCATTTTCAGGCTTCACGTCCATCACAATCGGACATGCCGTTTCAGTGCTGAGCGGTTGCGGTTCAGGAGCCTCCTCGCATTCCACTTTAGGCTGTCGCAGTGCACCATATCCTTTGTCATCGTACTTCTCAGTTTCTTGTTTGATAGCGTCTGCCTAAATGGGAGCATTTTCCACCACTTCACTAGTTTTCTGCCTTAGAGGTGATGAGGCAGGCTGGGGGCGGGCGGTTACTGCAAACATTATTGGTGGAAGGGCGGCTACGAGAATGCGTTTCGTCACACCACACAAAGCCTTTCCACTAATGACCTTAGCAGAGACAGCCCGCTGCGCCTACTGCTTTAAAGACACGTATGATTTTCTACAAGGTGGTCCGTTAGCGTATGAGAGGTGGGCATGCACCCCTAGGAGTGTGGCACTCCCACCGTCCTAAAGCGAACGGCACTATTGCACGAGGACGCAATACGTACGCCACAGTCACGCCATACGACCAACAGTATCCCCCTTAACAGCGCAACAAGTTACATGTCTGCGCCCCTCGTGGCGTGTGTATTGCGTGTCGAACAGCCGATGGAAATAGATAGTCTGAAGCTAATTCTATCTCCGCCTTACGCGAGACGGCACAGAGCAGCAGCGCAAAGGGTTATGGTTGAGGTACAGTAGGCCGTATCGCGTGATTTTGGCGTGCTATGGCGTAATGAACATCTGGCGGAGATCGAAAGAACAGCAGATTGTCACACGCTTGTGCTTAGTTATCGCGCACATTAAGAAGTGCTGCACTTCTGCATTTGCAGTCCTGCTCACCTGAAGTTACCTAGTCAGACAATCACAGTATGCCTTCAAAGGCAGTGGGCACGACTGCAGGAGGCGGGCGGTTGTCCGAGCATCACTGGTGGGAGGGCTGCAAGAGGGCGCTTGGCCACACCCCATTCAGCCCTCCCACCAATGACGTTGGCGACAACCACCCCCCCCAGCGATCGTGCCTTTGCCTTCAAGAATGAACATATCCCAAGGCGTACCAGTGTATGTATGGGTTCATTTGCTCTCAACGACTGGTGCAGGGCTTCTTTGTCATCAGCATCATCAAGCATTACACATTCTGGTGCAGGATTATCCGAAGAGCTCGGAAATCCCGGTCCTTGTTGCTCCATGAGTTCGCTCGCACTCGTTTCATTCATTTCTTCTTCGTAGTCCATCTGAAAGTCTGATTTAAATATGACTCAGAGCCTCCTGGAGCAGTACAACAGCTGCGAGACCTGCCCCACCTTTTCATCAATCTGAGAGACCGTATTCCACCCGTTCTGAGTATAGTAACGACGAAGGGCGTCATTCATAAACTGGCAGATGTCTCTTTCAGTGATCACTACCGTACTCTGAAAATAGCAGAATCATTCAGGCAGGTTTGGTAGGGGCACCTGATGGTACTCAGCAAGGCTTATACGGACCCCCTTTGAAGACCTGTAAATTCTTGTAGCTTACACCATCTTGCAGCTTCATATGAGTGAATTAGCCATGAAATAGCTGTAAAGCGCAACTGCCCCTCCCAAGCCAAACTGCGACATTTCGTTCACTTAAAGAAGGAGCGCCTCGTAGCGCTTTCAGAGTGCACTGTGTCATCCTCTACTAGGCAAATTCGATATCG